GGGTGGCTGAATTGCTCCTCCATAGAGTGAAGCCACCCTTAGACAGGAAGAGTCAGGCCAGTAACAGCAGACGCAGGCCAACATGGAAGGCCAACATGACAGGATCTTGGAAAGGCTAACCGGGTTTAGCAAGGGTTAAGTTGCTCATTCAAAGAGGGGGTGGACATTGAGTGTCGCTTACCTGATTGGCTAGGGCCCGGTGAGGTGGGGTATAGGCGGCTCCCCAGGGAAGGAAAGTTCCAGTCTCGGTGGGATCCGCAGGGTGAAAACAGCTTCCCGCCCTCCCACCCTGTTTGCGATATTTGCCTTGTTGCCTTTGCATTCTTTTCTCGTTTCTACCTTGGTGGCCTCTTTTTCCGTCTATTTTTATGTTTCTTGTCACTGCAGCCGGTCAGGGTGTTAGGGTCCTTGAGGTGCAACATATTCTCTTGAGGTTTAAGTGACAGTGGGGAGCTGTCTTTTTTATGGCATCCCTGTCTTAACGGGTCCATCATTAGTTACTCAGTATCTCATGTTAGTTTACAAGTCCCCGAGGCGGTGTTGTGCGGCTGGGGGCCGTGTGGGCAGATACTGGGCATTTTGATGGTAAAAATGTCGTGTCAAGGACCTTAACTCCGAGGGTCAGCTAATTGGTTAAAAAATTGTTAATTTTGGCTTTGGTATTAAAATAATAAAATGGCTGCTGTGGCCACTAAAAATCCAAGACCAGTGTCATGTCATCCTTTAACAAAGGGGTTAATATCTGAGTTGAGGGTTCTGGGTATTGGACCGCTAGGAGCCATATACAATGCCCTTGGCATGTGTTACTGACCGGATCACTAGGTAAAGATAAAGGAAACAAAGCCTAAAAAAGAAAACGAATGCAGCCGCCACATCTAAGGAAGTAAGCTGCATCGTATAAAATGTTTGCTGTAACCGTTTAAAGGAGAACTATGGGGTCAGGGCTTTTCCCCATAGTTCTCCATTGGGTAACGGGAGGACACAAACTAGCGTCCTCCCGTCACCCTAAGCTCAGTATATAGGGAGCTACAGCTCGCGGTATACTGAGACGCCGCAGCCGGAGCGGATCCCGACATCGATGTCGAGATCCGCCCAGCTGCTTGAGTGACAGCTGGCTCTGCCTATCTAAAGGCAGAACCAGCTGTACCCGCCCCCTCCCCCGTCCGTTCCGACAGTCAGTGCTGGCGGATCGGAGCGGGGAGGGGGGAATCCAGCCCCTCCCCTGTCACAGCAGAGAGCCGTGACAGGATCGAGAGGTGAGGGAACCCGGTATGTGTTCGCTCACTTCCCGATCTACTGAGCCGACCTGTGACAGTCTCATTGTCACAGGTCGGCTTGGAACTATGAGGTGAGTGGAAATCATGTCATAGTTCTCCTTTAAAGGAGAATTATGGGGAGAATGAAATGCATTCCCATAGTTTGAGCCGACGTGTGACACCACAACTGGCACGTGGCGGCTCTATAGCTGGAGAACTGAGCGATCACATACCACTGCTCACTCAGCTCATGGTTTTCTCCTTGCAGAGAGCAGTGACTGTCATTTAGGGATTCCCCCCTCCCCTCTCTCTGTACCTCCAGCGCTCATTGGAGGGACAGACAGGGGAGAGGCTGGCTCTGCCTCTGTAATTAGTTCCTCATTTCACCGCACACTGCGAGCTTCCCAGCATGTGCATTAGAAGCTGCAGCCAGTCAGAGAGAGCCCGCCTCATTTCCTGGCTGGAGGCATCATCTAGGACTTTCCTCCCCAGTCTCACTGTCCTTGGCCCCGCCCCTTTAATTAATTGGATTTCAGATCTTTCAATCACGCAGGCTCAGTATAAAATAAGAAATGGAATAAAAACTGAACCTTTTAAATGTAATTATGTAACACATAAGCACCCAATTCTTGAAGGGATTAACGCGGTCAGGAGTGCGATGGGACCATGGACTATCTACATCCTGTAAGAAGTCGCTGCTTTCACTATACATATATGCAGGGGTGTCCCGAGGCCGGGTGTCACCCGGAGCGGATACCGGCTGACACCCCGCCGTGATGTCATCGCGCATGTGCGGTCATCTTTTTTATACATGCCGGCGTCCATCTTGGTGATGGACGCCGGCAGAGAGAGGAGGGGACGTTCACCCGGCAGGATAAGTTATGCCGCCGGGTCCCCTCCTCTCTCTCCTCCAACTGTAGGGTCCTCGGTCCATGACCGAGTGCCTGACTTTTCAGAGGGGGTGAAACCCAGATGACCGTCAGTCATTTTGGTGTCACCACTTCAATGGTGTCACCCGGTGCGGGCCGCACCCCCCTTGTGACGTTATTGCATATATGAATGGGTTTGTTTAACAAATCAAGGAGCAAGTGCAGTAACGTGTAACAACCAATCAGAATTTAGTTCCGCGATGTCAGAAGAGTGAAACGCTCGTTATATTTGGTTGCTGCTTTTTGACCCTTTTCTTCTCTGAGCCTAAACATCTCGTTCTTATGTTATACTGTATAGATACATTGTATTAAATATACAATTAAAGGGCAAATTCTTTTAAAATGATCACAAGTGAATAAACCGATCCTAACACAGTACATAGAAATCACATATTTAACCATCTCAGTCATGTCAGTCATCACCTCTTACACGCTACTCTGTGTGATGATGATGATGATGGTGATGATGGGACGGCAATGGGGTCTACGAGCAGCCTACAAAACCCATCTTGACCCTAAAACAGTTATTTGCCCGTTATTACTCATACACGGACTATTTCTCTTATCGTTGTACAAGAATAAAGCGCAGAAATGAGGATAACTATAAAAAAAAAAACACCGGCATTATTGCACCAACTCTACAGCAGACTGCAAACACTCGTCACCCGCCACAGAGGAAGGAATGGTTAATGGGAAATGCTTCATATATCAATGTAAGACTTTGGCACACGTATGTAACTCAGAATAAAGCGCACACACATGAAGTGTACACACATGAAAACATGTTAAGGTCACCCATACAGTACAATAATGATGGCACATGTATGGTAGAAAAACAAACTGACATACAGAGAAATACAGATAATAAGACAGAGAGGAAATACTAATATATAAGCAAATAAATACATGGAGACATGCAAATGTAAATACACACATACATACACACATACAGACACACATACATACACACATACACACACACACATACATACACACATACACACACACACACATACATACACACATACATACATACACACATACGGGGACACACATACACACACACACACACACACAAACACACACACATACATACAGACACACACATACATACAGACACACACATACATACGTACACACACAGACACACATACGTACACACACACACACACGTAAATACACACATACAAACGTACACACATACATACACACAAACACATACAGAGACACATACAGACACACATACATGACACATACACACCTACATACATGACATAAAAACACACACACAAGTACTAACACTTTTACATGAACAAACAGCTCAGTCCCTACTTAAAGGGACCCTGTCACATTTAAAACAAATCCGAGAGCCAGTTCCCTCTAATAGGACCTCTCTGACGGTCCGAGTCTCCCACCTTCTGTCCATTCCCACACTGACGCCTCCATCATTCACTTCAGTATTTAAAACTTCCAATTGATGAGGTTGGAGGATGGAACCACAGGGCGCGGTGGGCGACACCAGTACTCTGACACTCCTGGAAGTGTTGAATACCGAAGAGTAGGGGTGAGCTCAGGTTCCAACCAAACCTGGTTCGATACTAAAATCAGCTCTTCCCGAATATGGAAGCTCCTTCCGTGTCACCCAATCTGCTCCTGGAAGGGAATTCCCAGTCTGATGTACGCAAAGGATGCAGTGATGTCATTGACCTTATATGGCTTCATGCCTATATTTGGTAATTGACAGTTACCCTAATATGATTATGCGGCCATATAAGGTAAATGATGTCAGCACACGCATCTCGCCCCTTTGTTTGGGTAAGCTCAGCCCCAATGGGGGAACAATCTCCATAGTGATCCAGGCGGCCACTATGGTGCCTGGGGCCGCCTGGATCGCTATGGCATCTGAGGCTGCTGGCTGTCACTGGCGGCTGTGAGGAGGAACATGTCGCTGTTCAGATGACTGTCAACCTGTCGGTGATCTGTGCAGCGGTGCGTTCCTCCTCTCAGCCGCAGCTGTGTCAGTGACAGCCAACAGCTGCTACGGAGGAGGCTGGGCCTGGCGTCAGCAGCGGGGGAGGAGGCGGGGCCCGGCGACGGAGGAGATGGGGCCCGCCACCAACCATGGAAGAAGAGGAGGCGGACAGCGGATCGGGGCTGACAGGTAAAAGGTGTGTGACCAGCTCACCTGAGACCCTGCAGAGCCCACCATAGAGAGTCTATAGCGGGCTCTGCAGGGTCACTCTCAGGTGGGCTGTGTGGGATCTCAGGTGGGCTCTGCAAGGGGCGTAACTAGAAATCACAGGGCCCCATACAAAATTTGGCTATGGGGCCCTGTGATTTTTAGTTACGCCCCTGACCAAGCCCAGCCCAGAGCTGATTGGGTGGAACTGTCCATGGTTCGGAGTTGCTCAGGCTTGGTCTAAAGCTGGGCTCCTCCCTACCGAAGAGAGGAAGCTGTGTATGATACTTCATCAGCTGCAGAGAACTGGTTTGAGGATTTCTTTTAAAACTTTGACGCTATCACTTTAAGAACTGTCATACATTATGATAAAGCTCCTATAGGCACACACAGAAGCATGCACATGTGGAATTCCGTGTAACTCCTGACATATAGGCACTCAGACATACAGAGACACATAGAGACATGTGATGCACATACAACACAATTGCTCACCAACAAATACAAAAGCAAACACTAATACAGTCCCACAGGCAATCACACGCACAGACGCACACATGCATTCACACGCATTCGCACACACTCACGCGTTCCGCAGGCTCCCTACTTATGGAATAATAAACAGAGGACACTGACCGGCCTCTGTTTTCAGCCATAGCGGAGACGGGATGGATCTCTTGCTTCTACACAGCATTGTGTCACCTCCTGCTCGTCCCCACCAAGCTGCTCCTGAACGGAGAGAGACCGGTAAGTATCCAGCTGTGCACTCAATGTACAGCACCAAAGCATGACAGGCGGACGCCCGGCACATAGACAAGAAACAGGTTATTGCAGCTCTCTAGTCATTCATATAAAGCGCATGTATAGGCAAAACTGGATAAGACAGGTGTCCCCTTTGGGAGATTCCCCCTCACCTCTTGTTCAGGAGACAGCACTAAAATGTTGTTTTTTTATCTTATTTTCTATTTTGGTGATAATGGTCACCAGGAGGAATGGACAGTAATAAAAAAAAGAGTGATAGTGGATCTAATCCTTCCCGATTCTATCCAAAGCTAATTTAAACATAGTTATTTATTATTTATTGTTATTATTATTATCATTATTATTGTAAATAAATCATAAATGTATTGCTAATAAATGTATATTATTTATTTGTTTAATTGTATTTTCTTTTTTTTAAATTGTTTTTATTATTATTATTATTAATAATAATAAATGCATTGAAAAATAAATGTATATTATTTATTTTTTAATGTATTTTTTATTGTTTTTATTATTATTATTATTATTTTTATTGTAAATAAACAATGCATATATTGCAAATAAATGTATATTATTTATTTTTGTATTATTTATTGTTGTTTTTATTATTATTATTGTAAATAAATCATAAATGTATTGTTAATAAATGTATATTATTATTTTTTTAATTTATTTTTTACTATGTGACCTGGTATCAGCCTTTGGAGTCTCTGTACAGCAGAGCACAGACAGAGAGAGTGGGAAGCAGCACTAGGAGCCAATCAGTTGTGTTGCAGAGCAAGAAGCATGCTGATAGGAGGAAAAAGCAGAGTGACAGAGAGATGAGCTCCTCAGTCTACTGCTTCTCCTTCCACTGTCCAATCACAAGCTGGGGGCGGGACAAGACCTGTAAGTGCTACTGAACTGCAGCAGGCACCAGTCAGGTCTCCTGCCCTACAAGACGGGGCTGCTCTGTGTGACAGAGCTGTGTAAATCCCAGGACGGATCACAGACCTGTGTATTGCAGGCCACACAGTGCAGCCTCTACAGTCCCCACTGGTGGGATTCAATTAGAGTGCTCGGGCCTAAAGCGGGTCTATTGGCTTTTCACAATTTGGGGAGTCTAGTTTGAGTGCACCTCAAAAAAAAAAAGTTTTAAGTCCACTTGCTCTGCAATATTTATTACCAAACATTGCTAAAAATAATCATTATGGGGGTTATTCACTATGGAGCCGAAGGGTCCAGACGCAGCTTTGGCTGATCCTTCGGCTCATTTCGGACGCCGGAGCCCTTGGGTTGAGTCGAACGGAAGGGCTGCTGTGCGGGCTTCTCACTATAACCCGTCCAGCTATAGTTTATAATAACTGTGGATTCTCTATTATGCTGACTGACTCCCTAAATATAATAATAAAATGTAAACAATATTAAAATATATATATTTTTAAATAAATGTAGAATTTTAACTCCGGTTATAAGATGGAAACCTTTGTCTGATGGTAAACTCTTTAAATATAATAATAAAATATAACAATATAATATAAAATAATAAAATATCATATCATATAATATATAATAATACAATCCAATAATTACAAATACTTTACATAAAAATATATTTAAAAATATGCTGAAATCTATGTCCTCTTCCTCCAATTTCAAGCACACCAGAAATCAGCCTGAGAGTGGGAGGTTCTGTAATGTGAGCCGATTGGGGGAGGACTGACATCATGCTGATATCAGGAGGGGGAGGAGTTTAAGCAGCTCAGAGGACTGAGGGGGATCTTAGGGAGGACTCAGCTTTGGGATATTGGCAATGTATCTTGTGCTGAATGAGCTGGAGATGGAAAGTCAGAAAGCAACAAAAAGTTGGTCTAACCCAGGGGTGGGCGACACCTTCCCTCTGGCTGTGCTTTAACTCCAAATCCCATCATGCCTCTGGGAGCCATGCCTGTAACTGTCAGCCTTGCAATGCCTCATGGGACTTGTAGTTCCACAACAGCTGGAGAGCCGGAGCTGCGCACCCCAGGTCTAACCCTTCCCCACTGCAGGAAGTTTTGCCTGCGGGGATCATTCCCAGGTAGGTGCACGGTGATATAACACAGCAGTTACATTTCTGATCTTTATATACAAAGTTCATCATAGGGTGCCGTATGGATCCATTAAACGAATCGGTCGTCTGCTGAGCCCTGCACCCCCCCTCCCCCTTACCCTCACACATGTGCCCTATGCGTCATATGGTCAGCATGTATATCCAACATGAAGATAGCGTGTGTGATAATGTGGATGATAATGGATGAGGATGAATTATTCTATGTTGCCATCCTCACACACAGCTACATTGTATCAACACGGATCTCCAGAACTATTCCCAGTATAACACTGGGAACACGCCATGTCCTCTGTCAGAGCAACACATTTCCCAGCAGCAGGGGGTCAGCTGGATATTATTTTAAAAAAAAGGAATGAGCAAAACTGACTGTTTGTGCGTAGCTAAAATTTTGCCAAAATTTCCACCATTTGTAAAAAAAAATACATTGGAGTCAGAGAAGAATACACAGGAGGTGATTCCTTCCTTGTTTTCTGTTTTTTATTTTGTGTTCTTTGACATTTTCTTTTCACAGTAAGAAGGAAACATAAATGGTAAAAAAAAGTGGCAATAAAAATAATTGAAAGAAACAGCCACGTGATTTAAAAAAAATAAATGTTAAATATGATATTGAAATAAATGAGAGTGGCTAGAATGTCAAATACTTTCTGGCTTTTTTTAATGCAGTTCTTTGACATTTTTCACAAAAAACAAAAATGTCAACATAGAAAAACTAAAGACAAGTCATTCCCGTAACCAAAAAAGAAAAACCAGAAGAATATTGGATTTCGGTTTTTTTGTTTTTTACATATAACATTAAAATAAATGAAAAATGTTGAAAAATAACTAAAATAAATTCTGGCTTTTTTTTGGTGTTCTTTGTCATTTTTCACAGTAAGAAAAAACAAAAACAGTAACAAAAATGGCAACAAAAAAATTGTATTGATATACATTTTTCACAGCTTTTTGTTTCTTACTGTGAAAAAAACATAAACTTACACAAAAACATAAAAAAACATAAAAGTACCCAAAACTGAGAAAAAAAATGGAAAAAGACAGAAAACATATTGGTGATTTTTTTTTCCATTTTTATGGGGGGAATTTTAAAGGAGAACTATGAGATGAGTGATTTCCACTCACCTCATAGTTCTAGCCGACCTGTGACAATGAGACTGTCACAGGTCGGCTCAGTAGATCGGGAGGTGAACGAACATATACCGGGTTCCCTCACCTCTCGATCCTGTCACGGCTCTCTGCCGTGACAGGGGAGTGGCTGGATTCCCCTCTCCCCGCTCCGATCTGCCAGCGCTGACTGGCGGAACGGACGGGGGAGGGGGCGGGTACAGCTGGCTCTGCCTCTAGATAGGCAGAGCCAGCTGTCACTCACGCAGCTGGGCGGATCCCGTCATCTAAGTCGGGATCCGCTCCAGGTGCGGCGTCTCAGTATACCGCGAGCTGTAGCTCGCGGTATACTGAGCTTAGGGTAACGGGAGGACGCTAGTTTGTGTGCTCCCGTTACCCTAAGGAGAACTATGGGGAAAAACACTGACCCCATA